CAGTCTGAGCTCTCTCTCCTAAACTTATTCAGAATCTTCTCAATAACATCAACAATGATACCGCTTAGTAGGGAGTCTTCTTCCTGACATGTAATGTTTTAAAAAAAGGATGACAAACACAGTTCCCATGGGAAGTAATTTCAGCTGTGACCTGCTGTGTATCTATGGAGTTAATGTGTTCTGCATAGTTGAGTGCTGTCCTGCTCTGGGAAGCCTGCATGGGGTCCCTGCACACATCCCAGTGTTGAGGGGCTCAGGGCTGGGCTTGAGTCAAAGGTGGAAGGAAGGTCCACATGAACTGGGGTCATGACAGAGTGATCAGGTGGGACCATGCAGAACTCTCGGCCCTCAGGTCATGCTGGTACACAGATTGCTAAGTTTCTTCCTTGTTAAATAGAATTAATCTTGAGATGATAGCTGTGGGCTGAGTTACCTTACTCACTTGTGATGGGTGTAGCAGGTAAAAAAATGGCCTGAGATAATGAGAGCAAAGCGCAGAAGGGTGTTGGTGTGGGAGAGGCTGAGAAGGTCAGGACTTTTGGGTTTGTAAAGGTGAAGGTGGACATGGACTGTCAGTGAGGGAACACACACACACCTCAAGAGTGCTGAAACTTGGGTTTTGTTCTTGAAGCCTGTAAAAAGCCCTGAGCTTCAAGGTGAAGAAAAAGAGTACAAATTATCTTCAGTTCTTATCAGACTGGTGGGCTCTCCAAACAAAGCTTAGGGTATGTTGACTGAACTATTTGTAATGGGAAGGGAAGAATGTTCATGGTGGATGCAGTTCATTTTGATGTGGTAGTTCAGGTCACAAGAATAGATACGACTTTTTCTTTTCTTTTTCTGAAATTGCCAAAACCAGATATGGCTTTTAACTTTCAACTGTTTTTTTCTCCTGATAATGTGGTCATAAGATCTGCCCTACCCATTCATCCTTGACCTTTGCCACTCCTGGTCGTGATGATCACATTGCTCCCACCTGTAAGTAGCCCTGGCAGTGCCAAGTACCCATAGGTCATTTTATTCAGCAGCTACTGTGTTCCTGTTTGTCAGCTGTTGTGCTACGCCCTGGGGATGTAAAGGTGCTAGGAGATAGTACCTGTCCTCGGGGAGCTAGTTGTCTATCAGGTTTTATGTGCTGCAGCCATCAGCTCTTACGTCCTCATGCTTTGAGGATGCCTTGGCAAAGGGAAAGTACAGGGAGGCTGGAGATACCACATTCATCCTTTCCTACAGACTCCTTTGTTCTGCTGACATTTTTATATACTGATATATCTTCAGAGTATCTACTGTGGCTCAGTGTTTTAAGGGTCTAAATGTGTCCTCTAATAGTTCATGTGTTGGAATCTTGGTCCTCAATGTAGTAGTGTTAAGAGGTGGGACCTGGCTGGGTGCGGTGGCTCACTCATGTAATCCCAACATTTACGGAGGCCGAGGCTGGTGGATCACTAGGCCAGGAGGTCGAGACGATCCTGGCCAACATGGTGAAACCCGTTTCTACTAAAAATACAGAAATTAGCTGGGCATCATGGCATGTGCCTATAATCCCAGCTACTCAGGAGGCTGACACAGGAGAATCACTTGAACCTGGGAGGTGGAGGTTGTAGTGAGCTGAGATTGCGCCACTGCACTCCAGCTTGGTGACAGAGCCGTACTCTGTCTCAAAAAAAAAAAAAAAAAAAAAAAAAAAAGAGGTGGGACCTTTGGGAGGTTATTGGGTCATGAGGGTATTGCTCTCATGAATGGATTCATCCATTCATAGATTAAATGGTTTATTGAGGGTTTGGGATAGTTATCACGAGAGTTATCACTGATATAAAAGGCAGTGTGACCATGTGATGCCCTGTGCCACCTTGAGACTCTTCAGAGCCCCTGCCAGCAGGAAGGTCCTCATCAGATGTGGCCCTTGACCTTGGACTTCCCAGCCTCCGGAACTCGAAGAAATAAATTTCTTTCCTTATAAATTGCTGAGTCTTAGTTATTTCGTTATAGAAACAAAAACAGGCTAATATTAGGTTTCTTCTTTTAGCCTCTTGCTTGACAGGATATAATGCAAATTGTATCTCTGGCCAATGGAGCCATCTAAAGATAAAGATAAAAGAAAAATTCTCACAGTTTAAGGGCACAGGACATCTTGACAAGGCACATCATGGCAGAACCTATAGGGAGGAAAAAAAGAAGACTGCCATTCTAGGACATTTGATATCTGACTTAGGGTTCCAGAAGGAAGGGACTGTTACACCATTGTAGGCCAGCTGGGAGCCTGCCAGTGCAGCCCCAGGGAGGGCCTCAGGGAAAAACTGAAGGAGATTCTGCAGGGCCCAGGGAGGTATCTCCAGGTGTGAGGTCGCCTGGGAGATGTCATAGCCATGGTGAAGAACAGACTCTGAGGGGCCCTCTCTCACTCCATTCCTCTCTCAAAGTAAGAGGAATGATTTTTTTATCTGATTCCAAAGTAATAAAGAATTCTTAATAAAAATTTGAAAGAGAAAGTGAAACTCCCTCTAGACAATTGCTGTGTACAGTGCGGCCTGTGTTGAGAGTATTGCTTCTTTGTTCTTCCATTCATTTAGCAAGTATGTCTTTTGCATTCACCTTGCCTTCGCTGAAGGCTAGAGTGGATAAAATATTGCACAAGAGGCTGGGCGCAGTGGCTCACTCCTGTAATCCCAGCACTTTGGGAGGCTGAGGCGGGTGCATCACAAGGTCAGGAGATCGAGACCATCCTGTTCAACATGGTGAAACCCCGTCTCTCCTAAAAATACAAAAAAATTAGCTGGGCGTGGTGGCGCGCACCTGTAGTCCCAGCTACTCGGGAGGCTGAGGCAGGAGAATTACTTGAACCTGGGAGGCAGAGGTTGCAGTGAGCCAAGATCTTGCCACTGCACTCCAGCCTGGCACCTGGTGACAGAGTGAGACTCTCTCAAAAAATTGCACAAGAGTAAAACAAATCCCAGTCCTGTGTGACTTCCATTCTCATGAAGGAGAAACAGAGCAAAAAAGATAGCACATAAAAATACAATAAAATTTCAAGGGGCGGTTAAATGGTATAAAGAAAAATAAGGTAATGTGGTTGTGTGTAAAGCACTTGGAAACATGCTGTACCGGCTGGGCGCAGTGGCTCAAGCCTGTAATCCAAGCACTTTGGGAGGCCGAGGTGGGTGGATCATGAGGTCAAGAGATTGAGACCATCCTGGTCAACATGGTGAAACCCCGTCTCTACTAAAAATACAAGAAATTAGCTGGGCATGGTGGCGCGTGCCTGTAATCCCAGCTACTCAGGAGGCTGAGGCAGGAGAATTGCCTGATCCCAGGAGGCAGAGGTTGCGGTGAGCCGAGATCGCGCCATTGCACTCCAGCCTGGGTAACGAGTGAAACTCTGTCTCAAAAAAAAAGAAAGAAAGAAAGAAAGAAAAAAAGAAAACATGCTGTACCACAGTGGTAAAATAGTTTTGTTTCTGCCAGGAAAATAAGGCCTTCTCACAGTAAGATACCCAGTTGTTCAGCTCTGCCTACTGAATCCTCAGGATTTTTTGTTTTCTTCCTTGAGAACAAAGAGACATTTATGGACTGCTCTTGTGTGTGTGTGTGTGTGTGTGTGTGTGTGTGTGTGTGTGTGTGTGTGTTTGTGTGTGTGTGTGTGTGTGTGTTTTTAAGATGGGGTTTCACCATGATGGCCAGGCTGGTCTTGAACTCCTGACCTCAGTTGATCCACCCACCTTGGCCTCCCAAAGTGCTAGGATTACAGGCGTGAGGCACCGTGCCCTATGACTGCTATGACTGCTCTTTTTTTTTTTGACATGGGGTCTTGCTCTGTTGCCCAGGCTGGAGTGCAGTGGCGCACCCTCAGCTCACCGCAACCTCCAACTCCCGGATTCAAGCGATTTTCCTGCCTCAGCCTTCTGAGTAGCTGGGATTACAGGCGCACGGCACCACACCCGGCTAATTTTTCTGTTTTTAGTAGAGATAGGGTTTCACCATGTTAGTCAGGCTGATCTCAGGCAATCCTGACCTCAGGCAATCTGCCTGCCTTGGCCTCCCAAAGTGCTGGGATTACAGATGTGACCCACCACGCCTGGCCAACACAGACTGCTTTTGAGTAAGATTTTGGAGATTGCTGTTAAGATTTCCACCTAAAAGCTTAGAAGAATTTAATCTGTTAGTCTTGGGGAATGAGTCTTGGCGTTACTCTCTTGTTCTTTCTAAGAGAGTACCATGGAATTAAATGATAAAACACTTTTCCTCAATAATGTGATGGTTACAGTAATGGAGGAATTAGTGAAAACTGATTATAGACATATTTTAAAAGAAACATGGAACTTCCACTTCTGGCCAAGGAAATAATCAAAACAGCAGCCACAACAAAAACAGACAACATACATGAAATTATTTTTAAAACACTGGGCACCAGGCAACAAAGGACAGTAAATTGAGTGGTGACAGACCAAGGAAGTGAGCCCTACAGTGCCCTAGCTGACTTCCTTGAGAGAGCTTCCTTGCCACCGCACAGGGAGGGGAGCCTCATGGACTCCCAGGGTTGTGGGTGTGGAACTGAGAATCTGGAGAGACCAATGTGTCTAGAGTTTATAGGACAGAGTACCAGAGAGAAGAGAACGACACAGAGAGAGATCCTGGGGCCTGCAGACGGTACCCTTCATCAGCACACATGTGTGAAGAAACTGTGGCTGGGGAAGGAACTGCCTGAAAAGATCAGAAGAAATAGTCCCTGTTCCTTAGAGCAAGACCATAATTTACTGGGTAGAACAGGAAACAGCATGCTTCAGTAGTGGAAAATATCAAATGTATGGGTTTGCGAGGGCTGCCATAACAAGGTAACACAGACCAGGTGACTTAAGTGACGGAAGTTTATTTTCTCTCGATTCCAGATGCCAGAAGTCCAAGATGGAGGTGTCAGCAGGGCTGGTTTCTCATGAGGCCCCTCTGCTTGGCCTGTAGATGACCACCATCTCCGTGTGTCTTCATATGGTCTTCCCTCTGTGTGTGGCTCTTTCTGCATTTCTTCTTACAAAAATTAGTCATAGTGGATTATGGTCTACCCTAGTGACCTCATTTTAGCATAATTACCCCCTTAAGACCCTCTCTCTAAATAATATAAGTCATGTTCTGAGGTGCTAGGGGTTAAGACTTCAACATGTGAATTTTGAGGGGACATAGCCTATAGCACAGGCATGCAGAGAGGCAGAAAAATATGACATGTATATAATGAAGAGAGTAATCAATGAAAACCAATTGAGTACTGATACACACATTAGTATTTGCACAGAAGGATATTAAAACACTTACTGAAATTGTATTCCATATGTTCCAGAAGTTAAGTGGAGTCAAGGAAAATCTGAAGTTACCCAAATTGAATTTCTAAAGATGAAAACCACAATGTGTGAGGTGAAGGTTACACTGAAGGGAATTATACTGAAGGGTAGATTAAACACTGCTAAGGAAAGGAGTCGGCTGGGTGCTGTGGCTCACTCCTGTAATCCCAGCACTTTGGGAGGCTGAGGTGGGCAGATCACCTGAGGTCAAACTCGACATGGAGAAACCCTGTTTCTACTAAAAATACAAAGTTAGCCAGGCATGGTGGCGCATGCCTGTAATCCCAGTTACTCAGGAGGCTGAGGCAGGAGAATCGCTTGAAGGTGGAGGCCGGAGGTGGAGGTTGTAGTGAGCCAAGATCGCACCATTGCATTCAAGCCCGGGCAACAAGAGCGAAACTCCATCTAAAAAAAAAAGAAGAAGAAGATGAAGAAAGGAGTCAACTATTCAACGTGAAACATGGGGAAAAGAGAACCAAACACATTTTTAAAAGCATCATTACGAGGCCGGGTATGGTGGCACACATCTGTACTTCTACCATGCCTGTAATTCCACTACACCTGTAATTCTGGCACTTCGGAAGGATAAAAAAGGAGGATCGCTTGACCCCAGGAATCTGAGACCAGCCTGGGCAACAAAGGGAGACCTCGTCTAGGAAAAAAAAGAAAACTATTAGCTGGGCGTCGTGTGCGCACCTGTGATCCCAGCTACTTGGGAGGCTAAGGTGGGAGGATAGCTTGAGCCTAGGAGGTCAGTGCTGCATGAACCATGATCAAACCACTGCACTGTGGTTTGGGCAAGAGAATGAGACCCTGTCTCAAAAAAATTTTTAAAAGCATCGGTATGTTATAGGACAACTTCAGGCAGCCTATTATATTGATAATTAAAGTCCCCAAAGAAGGGGGAAAGGGGCAGAAAAATATTTGAAGAAATAGGGGCCAGAAACTTTACAAGCTTGCTGAGAACTGTCAACGCACTGCCAAGAAGCTTAATTAATCTGCATGGGAAACATGAAGCACTACACCAAGGTGCTCATAATCAAATTGCTCAAAACCAGCAATAAAGAAAAAAAGCCTTCAAACCAACCAGAGGAAAAAGACATAATGTGCACACAAGAACAAAGATATGGCCAACAGAAGATTTCTTATCAGAAAAGAAAAGCAAGGAAGAAGCCAGTGAAGTAACATCTTTATTTATTTATTTATTTTTGAGACGGAGTTTTGCTCTTGTTACCCAGGCTGGAGCGCAATGGCGCAATCTCAGCTCACTGCAACCTCCGCCTCCCGGGTTCAGGCAATTCTTCTGCCTCAGCCTCCTGAGTAGCTGGGATTACAGGCATGCGCCACCATGCCCAGCTAATTTTTTGTATTTTTGGTAGAAACAGGGTTTCACCATGTTGACCAGGATGGTCTCAATCTCTTGACCTCGTGATCCACCCGCCTCGGCCTCCCAAAGTGCTGGGATTACAGGCTTGAGCCACCGCGCCCGGCCCCATTTTTAAATTTTTTTTTTTTTTTGAGACAGAGTCTCACTCTGTAGCCCAGGCTGGAGTGTAGTGGCACAGTCTTGGCTCACTGCAAACTTCACCTCCCAGGTTCAAGCGATTCTCCTGCCTCAGCCTTTCAAGTAGCTGGGATTACACTCACCCACCCCCACACTGGCTAATTTTTGTATTTTTAATAGAGAAAGCGTTTTACCATGTTGGCCAGGCTAGGCTGGAACTCCTGACCTCAGATGATCCACCCACCCCAGCTTCCCAAAATGCTGGGATTACAAGTGTGAGCCACTGCGCCTGGCTTTGAAGCAGCATCTTTAAAGCTGTTATGCTATATAGTAATGCCGCTTAATAAGAGGAACACCTTCTGAGGAACGTGTTGTTAGGCAAGTCCCAAGATGCTGGGATTCCAGTGAGCCACTGCGCCTGGTCTTGAAGCCACATGTTTAAAGCTCTCATGCCATGTGGTGCACTTTCTGAGGAACGCATTGTTAGGCAAGTGCATTGTCAAGTGAACATCAGAGTGTATTTATACAAATGTAGGCGGTACAGCCTATTACACGCCCAGGCTATGTGGTAAGGCCTGTTGCTCCCAGGCTGCAAACCTGCACGGCATGATATTTCACTGAGTCCTGTAGGCAGTTGTGACACAATGTTAAGTATTTGTCTATCTACACATAGAAAAGGTACAGTGAAAATACAATAAAAAAGGCCGAGTGCGGTGGTTCATGCCTGTAATCCCTGCACTTTGGGAGGCTGAGATCGGCAGATCATGAGGTCAGGAGATCGAGACCATCCTGCCTAACACTGTGAAAACCCGTCTCTACTAAAAATACAAAGAATTAGCCAGGTGTGAAGGAGCGTGCCTGGAGTTCCAGCTACTTGGGAGACTGAGACAGGAAAATCACTTGAACCCACGAGGCAGAGGTTGCGGTGAGCTGAGATCACGCCACTGCACTCCAGTCTGGGTGACACAGTGAGACTCTGTCTCAAAAAAAAAGAAAATACAATAAAAAAGATAAAAAACAGTACAATAGGTCGGGCGCGGTGGCTCACGCCTATAATCCCAGGACTTTGGGAGGCTGAGGCGGGTGGATCATGAGGTCAAGAGATAGAGACCATCCTGGTCAACAAGGTGAAACACCACCTCTACTAAAAATACAAAAATTAGCTGGGCATGGTGGCGCGTGCCTGTAGTCCCAGCTACTTGGGAGACTGAGGCAGGAGAATTGCTTGAACACAGGAGGCGGAGGTTGCAGTGAGCCGAGGTCGCGCCATTGCACTCCAGCCTGGGTAACAAGAGTGAAACTCTGCCTCAAAAAAAAAAACAAAAAACAGTACAATATAGGGCACTTACCATGATTGGAGCTTGCAGGACTTGAGATTGCCTTGGGTGTCAGTGAGTGAGTGGTGAGTGAATATGAAGGCTTAAGACATGAATATACATTTTTATACAGTTGGCAGTGGTTTGTTTATACCATATCACTACAGATGTGAGTAATGTCTTGCATTATGATGTTACAGCCATGACATAAGGCAGTAAGAATTTTTTAGCTCCATTATAATCATGTGGGACAACCATTGTATAAGTGGTCCATTGTTGGCTGAAACGCCATTATGCAGTTCGCATGACTACTGAAAGAATAAGGTATCCGCCTAAAGTTCTTTACCAGGTGAAAATATCTTTGTATGTTGTTCCTCCCACCCCCAAAGTATCTTCAAAGGCAAAATAGTAAAAGTTTTCAGATATTAAAAAAAGCTGAAAGAGGACCAGGCGTGGTGGTGGCTCAAGTCTGTAATCCCAACACTTTGGGAGGCCGAGATGGAAGGATCACTTGAGCCCGGGAGTTCCAGACGAGCCTGGAAAACAGCCAGACTGGCTGTACCTGTGGTCCTAGCTGCTTGGGAGGCGGGAGGATCACTTGAGCCCAGAAGGTGGAGGCTGCACTTCAGCCCGGGTGACAGAGTAAGACCTTGTCTCTTAAAAAAAAAGAAAGGCTGAGATAATTCATTATCCGCAGACCCGGGCTTTAAGAAATGTTAAAGCCCAGGTATGGTGGCTCATGCGTATAATCCCAGCACTTTGGGAGGCCAAGGTGGTGGGACTGCTTGAGCCTAGGAATTTGAGTCTGCAATGAGCTATGAGTGTGCCACTGTGCTCCAACTTGGGTTGATAGAGCAAGATCCCATCTCTTAAAAAAAACAAAGAACAAGTGAAATTACCACACAGAATGAAAATGAAGACACATGTATGCCCCTAACTCATGCTTGAGGAAAATACACAAAAAAGCCTTCAAATAATGACTTTAGTTTTCGTATTAAAAATCTAGGGGGCCAGGTACTGTGGCTTATGCCTGCAATCCCAACAATTTGGGAGAGTGGGCAGTTGGATCACTTGTGTCCAAGGACTTTGAGACCGGCTTGTGGTCCACAGTATTTTGGACTACTTTTTTATTGTCAGGCAGGGAAATGAGAAAGTAAATGTAGAGAACTGGAATGAAGGTAACTTTGTATAATGGCTGAACCCTGAGACAGTGGCCTTCCTATCAAGTTTCTAAGGTTGCTGCTTAGCAAAATAAAAGCTTGGCAATACTAGGTCAGTTCCCATTTTGTAGAACATTTTACGGGTTCATGAAACATAAAATATCTAGGAACCAGTTCTTTTGGGGAGTGTCAGGAAGCAGGGAGGGGTGTGTTGGGAGGCATCACTCCTGAAGAGAGATGAACAGGGTTGAAGATGAAGCAGTTAAGATGGTTACTAAGCATTTCATAACCAGGAGTTTTGGCTTTTAGAAATCAGGCATTTCTGTGCATTAGAGCCTGCTGCTGCCTCCACTTTGGAAGTAGTGTTCTAAGGCTGGCCACAGTGAAATCCAGTGCAGAGCTGCTACCCAGATCCAAGAGCGTGTCCCACACCCGTATGCATTGCCCATGGGGACAAGATGGGACACAGACACGCCTTGGGGGCCTTTTGTGTAGGAACCGTGACTGCCAGAACGTATCTCAGTCTGTGGTTTCTTCAGAGTAAGAAGGATGTGTTTGCTAACCCTTTAAATAGGAATCTTCCTATTTAGCTGATCACTCCTGTTCTTTCTGGACTCACCAGTGTCTTTCAGAAATAGCTTCTGGTAAGTTGGTGCTTGTTCATGATGGGAGGGAAGGAAGAGGAAGTAGAACAGTAAAGGCAGAACAATTAAAAACAAGTGGTGAAGGGCCAGGTGCGGTGGCTCATGCCTGTAATTCCAGCATTTTGGGAGGCTGAGGTGGGCAAATTGCCCAAGGTCAGGAGTTTACAACCAGCCTGGGCAACACAGGTGAAACCCTGTCTCTACTAAAATTAGAAAAAAAAGCCGAGCTTAGTGACGTGTCCCTGTAGCCCTAACTACTCAGGAGGCTGAGGGTAGAATTGCTTGAACCCAGGAGGCAGAGGTTGCAGTGAGTGGAGATCCTGCCACTGCACTCCAGCCTGGGGGACACAGTGAGACTCCATCTCAAAAATAAAATAAACTAAAATAAAAATAACATTGGTTGAGGACTGTGTACCTCAACAGATTCCGTTTCCTTAAGTGTTTCTTTACATGTGTGAATTCATGTCATGCTTACAGCTGCCTCACGAGGTTGATGGGTCGCCCTCTTTTCACAGATGAGGAAGCGAAGGCATGCATATGTAAGTAGCTTGCCCAGGGTCACACAGCCATCCGGGTGGCAGACCTGTGCCATCTCCAGTTCATGCTCTAATCACTGTGCTCTCCTGCCATTACTTAGGGCTGTCTCTCTGATACATCCTGAATATTACAAGGGGAAATTATTGCTGATTGAAAATATTGATCAAGTGTCACTTGAGAGAAATTAGTTTACTCACCAGCACATTGCTTTCCTTCTCTGATGGCACTGGTGACTCCGCAGCTGTGCTTGAGGGGTGGGCCTCTGAGAGCACAAACCTTCCGCAGAGCCTTCTCTCTGGGTTGGTGGCTTCCTCTGTGGCCCCCTTGTTGGCTTAGCACTTTCGACCCCCAGAGCTTTGGTCATGCCTGGGAAGCTCTGGGAGCCAGCTGAAGGTGTAAAGAAGCAAAGCCTCTAGGGAGTCCTGTGCACCCCAGCAATCATTGGGGTGCATGGGAGATCTGATGCATCATTGTGATTCAGGGGAACCCCCATGGTCAGTGCCGAGAGGCACTGAAAGCATTGAAGGGTAAGTGTGTTCCGGTCCACTGTAATCAATTTAAGTAGGAATTGCTGCAGTGGCTATGTGCATTTCCCCAAGAAGATAACCTGGAAGCCCAGTCTTTTCAGATAGGAAAAAACAAAGGGCAAGAATCCATTTATATCTAAAAATGGAGGTGGGTGCCTGTAGTCCCAGCTACTCAGGAGGCTGAGGCAGGAGAATCGCTTGAACCTGGGAGGCGGAGGTTGCAGTGAGCCATGATCATGCCACTGCACTCCAGCCTGGGCAACAAGAGCAAAACTCCATCTCCCAAAAAAAAAAAAAAAAAAAGTCCTTTGTTAACAAAAAGTCTACAGGGGCTTTTTTTTCTTTTTTCTTTTTCTTTTTTTTTTTTAACAGAGACAGAGAAACAGGGTCTTGCTGTGCTGCCCACACAGTCTCATACTCCTGGCCTTAAGTGATCCCCTTGCCTCAGACCCCCAGAGTGCTGGCATTGCAGGGGTAAGCCACCATGCCTGGCCAGAGCTCCTTTAAAGAGCAGGTTTTCCCAGTGTGAAGTTATAAAATGGCTTACTTCACATGTTGTGCCTACATGTGTAGTTATTGATACCTGAACACAACATCCGTGCTCACTGGCACTCCTGGTTCGGGACCTCACCTTGAACTGAGACGCGGTCTCACAATCTGCATGGAAGTGACATGTTGCTTCTGTAGGAAGAAGTGGTTAAGAGCAGGTGTGTGATCCTTTGTGCCCTCTGCCCCTGCTGCAGCAAACCCGAAAGCCTTGTGTGGAGGTGGCAGCATTGCAAAGTGACGGAGCTTCTGCAAGACAGGACCCTGAGTAACTGTTTAGTAGAACTCCAGCCAACCTGTGCTGGACGCAGAGCTAGAGGAAGAAAAACTGTTGTTCTTTAGGCCTCTTAGATTTGGTAGCTGTTGCTGCATTTTAACTTTATCTACAATGTATAGAGAGCTTTTAAAACTTTACAACAAAACACCAATTCAGAAATGGCCTAGAAATGAAGAGACGTTTCTCTAAAGACAGATAGATGACTTATAAGCACATGAATAGATGCTCAACATTACTAATCATTAGAGAAATGCAAATCAAAACCACAATGAGATACCACCTCACACCAATTAGGATGGATTTTTTTTTTTTTTTTTGACAGTCTTTCTCTGTCACCCAGGCAGGAGCACAGTGGTGCAATCATGGCTCACTACACCCTTGACCTCCCTGGCTCAAGTGGTCTTCCCATTTCAGCCTCCTGAGTAGCTGGGACTGTAGGTGCATGCTACCACACCTCGATAGATTTTTAATTTTTTGTAGAGAGAGGGTCTCACTGTGTTGCCCAGGCTGATCTCACACTCATGAGTTCAAGCAATCCTACCTCAGCCTTTAAAAGCACTGGGATTACAGGTGTGAGCCACTGCGCCTGTCTGAAAATGGCTAATAATTTTTTTTAAAAGAAAATAATAACTGTTGGCAAGGATATGGGAAATTGGAACCCTTGCACACTGTTGGTGGGAATAAAAATGGTATAGAAACTGGAAAATATGGCTGCCTCTTTAAAAATTGAACATAGAATTACCATATAATGCAGCAGCTGCGCTTCTGGATATCTACCAAAAATAATTGAAGACAGGGTCTCTAACAGCCATTTATTTGTACACCCATGTTCATAGCCACACTATTCACAATAGCTAAAACATGGAAGCAACCCAGATGGTGTCCATCCACGGATGAGTGGATAAGGAAAACTTGGTGTATCTGTATGATGGAAGGAATTTCTGAAATGCACTACAATGTGAATGAACCTTGAAGACATATGCCAAGTGAAGTAAGCCAGTCACAAAAAGACAAGTATTGTTTGATTCCGCTTACATGAGGCACTAGAGTCATTAAGGTACTGGAGGCAGAAAGTGGAATGGCGGTTTCCGTGAGCTGGGGGTGGAGAACGGGAGTTACTGTTTAATGAGTACAGAGTTTCAGCTTTGCAGGATGGAAAGAGTTATAGAGATGGATGGTGGTGGTGATTACACAACACTATGAACATATTACCACTCAATTGTCCATGTGAAAATGGCTATGACGATAAATTTTGTTATGTGTATTTTACTACAATAAAAAATTGGGAAAAATGTGTAAAATTTTTAAAATTGCTGAAATATTTGTGGCAATTTTTCTGTTCCTTATTTCCCCTTCCTTAATATGAATGGTCCCTCTTCCCACAAAACTGTAAACCCTTCCTGCCCCCTTCCATGTCACTGTATGAACACTTATTTTTTGTTTTTTAATGACTGCATGTCATCTCAGTGTATGGATGCACTATCCCCTATTAAAGAGATGTGAAATTTGTGTGCTGTAATCCATAGTTTTCTTGTATACAAGCAACAGCAATTAGTTGTAAGATGTAAAGAGAAGACAAATTCAAAAAACATTCCTCAGATTATTCATCTAACAGAATTCCAAATTTTAAAATGCCTGTTTCTCTCTGGTTCAATACAAGCTGATTCTGAAGTTCAGATGAAAAAATATACAGAGATTTTGTACCAGGGGTATATTAAAAAAAGAAAAAAATGACCAGAAGTGCCATGAGCCTCTGAGGAAGAGTTGTGTGGAGTCTGGTCCATGCTGCAATGCTCAGCTTGGGAATAACAGGCCCGTGTGACAGGACAGAGATTCTTGAAATAGACAAATACACTTGGGAATTTAATTTGAGGTGAAGTTGGAGTAACCGTTGAGTGTAGTCAGGGTTGATTTTGATTGTTAATTAAGATTTTTGGGACAATTGGGTAGCATTTGAAATAAAGTAAGTCTGTATCCATACCTTACCCTGTAACCAGGATCCTTGTACAGACAGATCAGAGGTAAATGCAAACAAGAAACCAAGAAGTACTAGAAGAAAATAGGAGTGAAATTCTGAAGTCTTGAAATGGAGGAGAGTTTTTTTTTTTTTTTTTTTTTTTTTTTGAGAGAGAGAGTTTGCTCTTGTTTTGCCCAAGCTGGAGTGCAATGGTTTGGTCTCAGCTCACTGCAACCTCTGCCTCCCAGGTACAAGTAATTCTTTTCCCTCAGCCTCCCCAGTAGCTGGGATTGCAGGCACCTGCCTCCACACTCAGCTAATTTTTGTATTTTTAGTAGAGATGTGGTTTCACCCTGTTGGTCAGGATGGTCTCGATCTCTTGACCTTGTGATCCACCTATCTCAGCCTCCCGAAGTGCTGGGATTACAGGTGAGAGCCACCATGCCCAGACAGGGCTCTCTAACTGTATCTCAGAGTCCAAATGCTATTAAGATGACTTAAATTTGATTTCATAATATGAAAAAAATCTGTATCACATAAATAATGACAAAAATATTTGAAACTCACGGGTAAAGAGGTAATAAGAATTTCTAGGAATTGAAAAAAGTTCAAAGTCCAATGAAAAATATGCAAAAGATAGCACAATTCATTGAAAAACAGAATCCTTCAACATGTGAATGAATGCTTAACAATATTTAATTTTGGCCAGGCGTGGTGGCTCACACCTGTAATCCCAGCACTTTGAGAGGCTGAGGCAGGCAGATCATGAGGTCGAGAGATCGAGACCCTCCTGGCCAACATGGTGAAACCTCGTCTCTACTAAATACAGAAAAAATTAGCTGGGCATGGTGGCATACGCCTGTAGTACCAGATACTTGGGAGACTGAGGCAGGAGAATTGCTTGAACCCAGGAGGCAGAGGCTGCAGTGAGCTGAGATTGTACCACTGCAGTCTGGCCTGGTGACAGCAAGACTCCATTTCAAAAAAAACCCCACAGTATGTGTTTAATTTTTAAGGGAGGATCTTACTGTGTCACCCAGACTGGAGTACAGTGATGTGATCTCAGCTCACTGCAGCCTTGACCTGCTGGGCTCAAGCAGTCCTCCCACCTCAGTCTTCTGAGTAGCTGGGAATACAAGCACACACCACCATGCTCAGCTAATTTTTAAATTTTTGTAGAAACTTATGTTGTCCAGGCTGGTCTTGAACTCCTGGCCTCAAGCAATCCTGTCATCCTTAGCTCTTGCGCGTGGCCAACACTTGATTAATTAATGAAAGTCAAGGCCGGGTGCAGTGGCTCAAGCCTGTAATCCCAGCACTTTCGGAGGCCGAAGGGTAGGTGGATCACGAGGTCAAGAGATCGAGACCATCCTAGTCAACATGGTGAAACCCTGTCTCTACTAAAAATACAAAAAATTAGCTGGGCACGGTGGCGTGTGCCTGTAATCCTAGCTACTCAGGAGGCTGAGGAAGGAGAATTGCCTGAACCCAGGAGGCGGAGGTTGTGGTGAGCCAAGATTGCGCCATTGCACTCTAACCTAGGTAACGAGCGAAACTCCATCTCAAAAAAAAAAAAAAGAAAGTCAAAACTACACCAAGATGCCATTTCTCACCTATCAGATTGAAGAAAATGCGTCTTTGACAACTACTTCATTAGTGAGGCCTGAGGGAAGCAAGAATTTGGGAGGATAATCTTTTAGTAATATAGATCCATTTACTCTTTGAGCTGGTGGTTTCCATTCTAAGACTGTCTTACCTGTACATACAAAATCAGGTATGTACAGAGTAATTCATTTTGGCACTGATTGCTGAAAACTTCCTGATTGTCCAGCAATGGGAGACTGGCTTAATAACCTATGTTACGCTGACCCAGGGGGGAGCTGCAAAAAAGACAAGCATTGATGTGGAGAAATTTTGTGGATGTCTTGTTTCTATTTTTTCTTTATTTTTTTATTTTTTATTTTTAAAGACAGGGTTTCACCATGTTGGTCAGGCTGGTCTTGAACTCCCAACCTCAGTGATCCGCCCATCTTGGCCTCTGAAGTGGGTTGTCTTGTTGATAGAAAAAAAAATCAAGATGTAAAACAGTTTACAATACTACCTTTTTATGAGAAAAAGGAATGAGAACATGTACATGTATTCGTGTAAGGAAACACTGGAAGGATATACAGCAAATAAAAATGCTTATCTGTGGGCATGATGGGGACAAGATACCTGGTGACAAGTTGACAATGAGACTTTATGTTTTATTTTTTGAACTGTGTAAAACTTTTTTTTTTTTAAGCTATTGTTAAGCTAGAAACAAAAAATGAGCACGTAGAGTATAATCTTGCATTAGTTAAGATAACACTTGCTGCTGTACCAAGTCACTACATGAGCCACATGAGGCCTTACGTTGCATTTGTGAGAACTACTCAGTTGGCTCCTCTTGCTTCCACAGCAGGCTTGGAAATGTAGCCAGCTGGGTAGCCATTCCTATCCCCAGCTCTACACTCAGTAGAGAAGGGACAGTACGAGGTTTTGATGGTCTCCTAGCCATCTCCACCTTAGGTCCTGGGCCCCTAATCTGTATGTTCAGTTTTTCAGAGAGTCAGAGAGCAGCTTCCACTGGCAGTGTGAGAGTGTTTGCCCAGTTGCCATTTTTATGTTGTCATTATTCTTCTTCACCAATAATATAGGTGAAAATGGAACCTCATGGTTTAATTTGCATTTCTATGTGTCAATTTAGTGCCATATGTTTTGGGAACAGGAAATACCACAAAATAGCTCTGTAGCCCATTAGCTATGGTTAAGATATGGTTTCTTGGGCCTGCCAAGTCTCATGTTGAAATTTGATCCTCATGTTGGAGGTGGGGCCTGGCTGGAGGTTGGAGGTATCTGGCTCTCCGCGGGGGCAGATTCCTTATGAATGCTTGGTGCTACTCTTAAGGGAATGGATGAGTTCTGACTCTGAGTTCCTGTAAAAATAGCCTGGCACCTTCCCTCCCGCCCTTTCTGATCTCTGCCTACCAGCTCCCCTGCCTTCCACCCTGAGTGGAGGCAGCCTGAGGCCATCACCAGATGTGGATGTTGGCACCATGCTTCTTGTCCCAGCCTGCAGAACTGTAAGCCAAAATAAACCTTTTTTCTTTATAAATTATCCAGCATCAGGTATTTTTTTTTTTTTATGAGACGGAGTTTCGCTCTTGTTACCCAGGCTGGAGTGCAATGGCGCAATCTTGGCTCACCGCAACCTCTGCCCCCTGGGTTCAGGCAGTTCTCCTGCCTCAGCCTCCTGAATAGCTGGGATTACAGGCACGCGCCACCGTGCCCAGCTAATTTTTTGTAATTTTTAGTAGAGACGGGGTTTCACCATGTTGACCAGGATGGTCTTGATCTGTTGACTTCGTGATCCACCCGCCTCGGCCTCCCAAAGTGCTGGGATTACAGGCTTGAGCCACCGCGCCCGGCCCAGGTATTTCTAATATAGCAACACAAAAATGGACTAAGGCACGTTTGTCATCTGAAGATAAATTTCTAGAATATTACCTTATCATGAGTTTTTGTTTTGTTTAAATAAAAAGGGAAGGGGAATGATTTTGAGAGCTAGTTTAGTAGAGTCTCAGTGTGTCCTTGACCTGGAAGGTTGGAAGGCAGGAAGGCAGGTCCTGGGGCATGTGATCTGTTCTGATGACCAGGCCTGTGGGATACAGCAGGGAGGAGGAGGTTTTCCTGCTACATTCTCAGCACAGGGAGCCCTGGGGCTTAGAGATTCTCAACCGAATGATAATGCAGATACTTATGTTCATTTATTTAAAGGCTTTTTTGGTGTGTGTCTTCATATTATAATGATTCATGGACAAATTGGCCACCTATTGCATTTAAAATTAATTTTGTTTTTAGACGGAGTTTTGCCCTTGTTGCCCAGGCTGGAGTGCAACGTCGTGATCTTGACTCACTGCAGCCTCCACCTCCTAGGTTCAAGTGATTCTGCTACCTCAGCCTCACAAGTATCTGGGATTACAGGCATGCGCCACCACGCCCAGCTAATTTTGTATTTTATTGAAGACAGGGTTTCACTCTCTTGGTCAGCCTGGTCTCGAACTCCTGACATCAGATAATCCACCTGCTTCAGCGTCCCATAGTGCTGAGATTACAGGCATGAGCCACCGCGCCCGGCCTTAAAATTAAATCTTTTTTTTTTTTTTTGAGACGGAGTTTCGCTCTTGTTACCCAGGCTGGAGTGCAATGGCGCGATCTCGGTTCACCGCAACCTCCGCCTCCTGGGTTCAGGCAATTCTCCTGCCTCAGCCTCCTGAGTAACTGGGATTACAGGCACGCGCCACCATGACCAGCTAATTTTTTGCATCTTTAGTAGAGACGGGGTTTCACCATGTTGACCAGGATGGTCTCGATCTCTTGACCTCGTGATCCACCCGCCTCGGCCTCCCAAAGTGCTTGGATTACAGGCGTGAGCCACCACGCCCGGCTCAAAATTAAATCTTGATTAAAGACTTCCATCTCATCAACCATTATTAAAATGAAAAGTAAAATGTTAATCATTTTATTTACTGCCTGGCACCTAGTGAATATTTGATAAATATTTGTTCAATGGAAATTCAAATAAAGAAACAGGACTTTATATATGTTCTCATATCTATAAAATACTCTGAATGTTCTAGACATTATGAGATGAGAAATAGTTAAGATAATTATACAAAAAGTAGGAGTCAAAAATTTTTTTATATAAAATTTTTTTTTTAATTAAAAAAAATTATTTTTTAAAAATATGGAACGCTTCACGAATTTGCATGTCATTCTTGTGCAGGAGCCCTGCTAATTTTCCCTGTTTCATTCCAGTTTTAGCATATGTGCTGCCACAGCGAGCACTAGGAGGAGTTAAAATTGCCAAAAGCAAGCACTAGGAGGAGTTAAAATTGCCATTGCTTACAGTGACTTTCTACTCAGAAAGCTCCAGTAAAAATCAACTAAAAATTCTCAAAACTCATGCAGTTTGGTAAGATTTTTTCTTTTCTTTCTTTTTTTTTTTTTGAGATGAAGTCTCACTCTGTTCCCCAGGCTGCAGTGCAATGGGGCGATCTTCGCTCACCGCAACCTCCACCTCCCAGATTCAAGTGACTCTCCTGCCTTAGCCTCTGGAGTAGCTGGAATTACAGGCATGTGCCACCACTCCTGGCTAATTGTTTTTTTTGTATTTTTAGTAGAGATGGGGTTTTTACCATGTTGGCCAAGCTGGTCTCGAACTCCTGACCTTGGGTGATCCATGCCCCTCAGCCCCCAAGATGCTGAGATTACAGGTGTGAGCCACTGCGCCTGGGCGTAAGATTTTCAAATGCAAAATAAATAGACCAATTGATAGCTTTCTTATATACCAATAACCAGCTGACTAGAAAGATGAAACAGGATAAACTCTTACTTCACAGTAGCAACAGCAACAACAATACACATTTAAGAATTACATTAGAAATATGTAGAATGGAGTTGGAGGGAGGCAGGTAAAAGAAAAAAAAGGAAACATGTAGAATGTCAGCTGGGTGAGGTGGCGCATTCCTGTAATCCCAGTGAGCTGAGATTGCACTACTGCACTCCAGCCTGGGTGAGGGAGTAAGACTCTCAAAAAACAACAACAAAACCATGGAACATTTGTCGAGAAGATCATTAAACTTTACTAAGAGATGTAAAATGATATTTAAGTGGAAAGATAGTTTGTTATTACACAAGAACATACAACGTTGAAAAGCTGGTGTTCCTTTTTCAAATAGACTTCATGCAGTTCTGCCTGTGGTCGTTCAGCCTCAGCTTCCTATCTAGGGAAGTCAGAGTGCATGGGTGTGAGTGAGTCTGCGAACACGGGGATTCTGCGGCAAGCTTCAGTGTGGACCAAGGACTAGAGGTTCTGCAGCCACGTAGTGTGGGCTTGCAGGGCAGCGGGCCCTGTATCTTCTGCTGCTAGGCTTACCTTGGCCTGCCTCTAGCTCCCAGCTCTCTCAGAGATGTGGAAGATGGTTGGGGGTTCTCCACACTGCTTTCTAAACTTTAACATACTTCTGCTTTTAGTGTATCTGGCGTTTCGTAGTCCAGTCCATCTATGGTTTACCCTCTGCAGAGAATAAATCTTCAGTCTCCTGATGGATTGGGGCAGTGACCCCACTCTTTTCGGTGAGCTAGAAGCCCAAGGGGTTTTTCCAGTTTTCATTCTGATTCTGACCTCCACCTGATCTCCCACCACAGGTACCTGGTGCTGTTGGTTCATGTGCCTTGTCTTCCCCCGTACTGGTTTTGGACTTTTCTGAACCTGTCACCTTAACTTCTGGACTTCTGTTGTTCAGCTTCTAACATGGTCTCTCCTCTCATTCTTGACCACTGTGCAATTACGTCCTTCTAAAATTTTACTGTCATTTTAGTGGGGTTTTAAGATGTGAAACAGTTATGTCTACTGTCTTTAGCCTCAAACATAAAAATGTAACGTGTGGCTGGGCACGGTGGCTCATAACTGTAATCCCAGGACCTTGGGAGGCCGAGGCGGGCAGATCACGAGGTCAGGAGTTCAAGACCAGCCTGGTCAATATGGTGAAACCCTGTCTTTACTAAAAATACAAAAATTAGCCGGGCATGGTGGCACGTACTTGTAATCCCATCTGCTTGGGAGGCTGAGGCAGGAGAATTGCTTGGGCCTGGGAGGCGGAGTTTGCAGTGAGCCAAGATCGTGTCACTGCACTCTAGCCTGGGTAACAAGAGTGAAACTCCGTCTCAGAAAAAAAAAAAAAAGAAAAAGAAAAAGTTCTTGGCGAGGCACAGTGGTTCACGCCTATAATACCAGCACTTTTGGGAGGCTAAGAGGATCGCTTGAGGCCAGGAGTTTGAGACCAGTCTAGGCAACGTGGTGAAACCCTGTCTCTACTAAAAATACAAAAACTTGCCAGGCATGGTGGTGCACACCTGTAGTTCCCAGCTACTTGGAAGGCTATGGCACAAGAATCGCTTGAACCTGGGAGATGGAGGTTGCAGTTAGCTGAGATCGTGCCACTGTACTCCAGTCTGGATGACAGAGCGAAATTCTAACCCCTCTTCCTCCCCCCAAAAAGTTATATGTCAGTTAGAGGATAATAAGAGATATTTTGTCATTAATCACAATGATTAGAACAGCATGTTATTCTGATTTTTTAAAATGCATAGAAGAAGCAGTGAAATAGAAATGTTATATGCAATTTTTTACAAAGGAAGCATCATTAATACATGCTAGGGTAATTGTGTAGTTGTTTGGGTAAAAATAGTTTTGTCATCTCATATATGCTAAAGTAATTCCAGATTAACAGTAACTGTTGTTAAGGTTTTGGTTATAACTTTTCACACTGTGTATACACCTGTATATTTTGTATTTTTACATACTATTCTATAAGCTGTAAAACCACTATATTCTGGATTTTCATGCAGGTCTTCAGATAGAGAGGGCATTGCGTTGAATGACTACGTAGCACCTGCTTATCCCATTGTTTCAGACCTCCCTTGGAACTGGTATGGCACAGTACTGTCTAACCCTGAAGGGTGTTCTGGAGGGGTGGCTGGTGTGGACAAGGGGACCAAGTCCACATGAGCCTGGAGTGGCATGTTATATACTCTGCGCAGGTCTCCTGCCTGCTCCTATCCCAAGGCCTGCGGACATGGAGTTTGCACCTTTGTTGCCTCTTCGTGGTACTCACTGTGTTTTGACACATACTGAGGTGTACAGGTGATGGTGCTAGCCTGCTTGTACAGAGGCAAAGAGGGACAAAATGCAGACCAGTTAGAAAACAGGCAGTAGTGTTAGGAGGCCTTCACAAACTTCACTCTTGCCCAGGAAAGACCAGCAGTTGGTGGAATGGTAGCAGGAAGAAACTCCTCCCTGCAGCATATGACTTAAGGGAAATTTTAGAAGAATAATCATTGACTTTGCCAGTAAAGATCCTATGGTGTGCACCCAGCATCCTTGGACTAAATGGGCTTATTGTTTATTTAATCAGCTTCCTATTGATGGACAATTGGCTTCTTTCCAGTGCTTCTTGCTGTTATTAGCAACTTTCTTATGTCTAACTTTTGTTCCTTTGTCAAAAGTGCCCAGTTATTTAGGATAATTTGAGATTTAATGGGTCAAAGAGCATGAATATTTAAAATTTTGAAACTGTTGCCAAGGTGACTTCCAACAAGATTGGGAAGTTTTGCCCTCCTACCCAAAAGCGTTTCAGTGCCCATTTCCCCCACTCCTGCCTTCATGAGATGATATTATTATTATTATTATTATTATTATTACTGTTTTTGAGACAGGATCTCACTCTGTCACCCAAGCTGGAGTGCAGTGGCATGGTCTTGGCTCACTGCAGTCCTCAGCTTCCCAAGTAACTGGAACTACAGGCACGTGTCACGGCACCCAGCTAATTTTTGTATTTTTTGTAGAGGCAGGGTTTTGCCGTGTTGTCCAGGCTGGTCTCGAACTCCTGGGCTCATGTGATCCTGCTGCCTTGTTCTCCCAGAGTGCTGGAATTACAGGTGTGAGCCACTGCCCTGGCCATTGGGTGATATTATCATTGATGTCTGCAAGTTGATGCATGAGAATCAAACTTGTGTGATGTTTGCCTCTCATATGTATGTTGCCTAAGATTTCTATCACTTGAATCTTGAAAGTTTTTTAATAAATTCTTACTTTCCCTTGAACATATTTTGAATGGTCCAAGTTGTGTTTAAGAAACTCGTGTTATCCTATGGAACCAGTTTTTCTACCTAATGAGAAAGTGGTTCATGATAGAAACTGCAGACTTCATTCATCAGCTACCCGTACTTCTTGAGCATCCAAGTTCTGGGCACTGGTTATAGAAAATCAACAAGAGCTGTGTGGTACTTATTTGTGGGGAGACATTCTGTCCATGATGATAGAGATAAGTGTTTTGTTGCAGACTGAAGGGAAAAGAGGAGTCTGACAGACATGGTGAGAGAGCCTCATTAGGCTGGGTGGCCAGGGGACTTTGGAGAATAGCAGTGAAGCTTATGTCTGGAGGGGGCAGAAGATTAGGGGCCCCTGCGAGAGACTGAAAGGCGTTAGAGAGTCAGGGGCTGGGTGAGCAAGCGCTAGAGAGGGGGCAGCAGCATGGGGCACAGGGTCCTGGATCAATTTTAGAGGCCCTTGGTGGGGTTGTGGGGGCATGCCCGCAGAGTCGCTGGGGTCTGGGAAGAAGATATCAGGCCTTCTAATTCTATTTCCCCAACCTCTGAGAAGACCTCTTTAGTTCAGTTTATTGCGTCTTTCATTGTTCATTTGTAGAGAGCAGAGTCTTGTTACACTGTCCAGGCTTGCCTTGAGCTCCTGGCCAGGTGCTTGCACTGTGCAGCCTCATTGTGCTGCTCACTGCCCAGTCCTCATTCAAGATCACGCCTCGCTAAGCATTTTCCTTCCTTCCTCATTCATACGCGCAGCAGCCCATTAGGGCAGATTCCATCACAGTCAGAGGCCCCGAGACCCTTCCACCACTCCTTCCACCTGACACTCTGCCACAGTGCTCCTGGTGCTCCGCAGGGCTTTTAATGTCTTCAGACTGAGGGCCCAGCACTGTCTTCCCTATCAGAGGAATGAGGATAGGTTGCTCAGTGACCCTGGACAGTAGGGAAAGGAGATCACTGTCAAACTGGGAGCAGGAGCACTGGCATCTGCTACACTCCCTACGCAGCTGCTGTTCAGCGAGGCCCTGCAGGCCTACGCCTCCGAGTTATGTCTAAGGGATGTTCACAGAGGGACCCCCTCCCCATCAGGAGAGTGTGCAAGAGCAGTGATGGGAAAGCCATCTGCCACCTCAGGAAGCAGACAGGTGGCCATCCTCCTGGCTGAGCTAATAGAAGAGCCTCTTGCAGGCACCAAGTGTTTATTGATAAGTGACATCCTAAGAAGCCCGATGACCCTTGTGGGAAGCAGAACCTCAGCATTCTCACGTTTGAGAATGGAGACCTAGAGGAGCTACCACGAAGGCCTGGCCCTGGGTGTGTTTTTTCCCTTGCAGTTTTGTAGATGCTGTTTGATGGGAAGGCTCTACATAGCACACTTAGGGTTTGCCCTTCTTCGTCACCTCCAAGCACAGGAGCTGCATCAGTAGAAACAGGCTTCGTCAATACAGATGATCTTGTGGGCTCCCTGGGTTGTTAGATTGGCTTCGGTTCTTTCAGGGAAGGACTCTGTGTCTGCCCATCAGTGCCTCCTGTTATTGGCCTAGTTTCACAGCTCAACGACTGCAAATGGAAGTCAGCCTTCTGAAATATAAATGACAACTTTTATTTGGTGGCATACAGTGAAACATTTTTTTCTTTAAAAATGCTCTTTAGGACAGGACACGGTGGCTCACGCCTGTAATCCCAGCACTTTGGGAGGCCGAGGCAGGTGGATCACGAGGTCAAGAGATTGAGACCATCCTGGTCAACATGGTGAAACCCCGTCTCTACTAAAAAAAAATACAAAAAAATAGCTGGGCATGGTGGTGCATGCCTGTAATCCCAGCTACTCAAGAGGCGGAGGCAGGAGAATTGCCTGAACCCAGGAGGCGGAGGTTGCGGTGAGCCGAGATCGCGCCATTGCACTCCAGCCTGGGCAACAAGAGCGAAACTCCGTCTCAAAAAAAAAAAAATTTCCTCAAAGAAAATGTTTTACTCTTAGCAGGAAATGGTAAGAGTAAAACAAAAAGGGGGAAGTGGCAGCAGAAAGCTTTTTAGATTCATTTTTTTTTTCTATATTGTCCTTAAAACTGGGGACAGGGTTTGTTTTTTAAAATCTTCGTTTGTTGTCTGCGTATTTTCCTTTGACAGGAAATAGTAGGGAATGGAATTGCCCTTGTTGTCTTGAAGGGCTGCATTAAGTGTCATCCAGCCTGCAGGTCGTCAAGATGGGAAACTCCAGGTGTGTACATGCACTATGTGGCACCAGTGAATCCAGTAATGCCCAGAACACCCCACTGTAGCTTAGCAGGAATGTGCTGCATTATTTGAGAGTGGAGACCCCCTAGCGTGATCGTACCTTTCCTTTCTCTGTCTCCTGATTCAAATACAAAGTCATTGACAGTTCAGACTTCTTACGAAATAATGTGTTTGTTCTTCAAAGTGGTTTAATTATACCTGAGTATCTCTTTAGAAAGCACAGAAAGAGAAGAAAAAGAGATAGGAAAGAGAAAGCAAAGTCAGATAAGAGATGGGATAGACGTGATTGGGGAAGTATGACAGCTGAAAGCTAAGGAAACCAGACAAGTTAATTTTTTTTCTAAAATAACATTTAAAAAAATAATAACAATTCCATCTTGTATAGGATTTTATTGCACTTAATAGTTTGGCTTGTCAGATTTCTGTTGGTGTCACTGTCTTTCTCCCCTCATTTAGGATCCTTCGGTTGCAAATGGTGAACGAAGAGTGTCCTCATCATTGCCATCAGGAAGGATGGCCTTGTCCAGTTCCAGTGGGCAGTGCATTGGTACACAGGCCTCAGTTTTTCATCTATAACACATGGCTTATGCACAACCTTTTAGACTATGGGTCATGCATGGCAAACGGTGGCAATCGATGCTGAAAAACCGGAATGTTTAAAAACGATGGGCCATAAAAACGTAGAATGTATTCTGTCACCAGAGTAGGGTGTCAATGGGGTGGCCCCTCCCTGCCTTCCTGCCCCCAGTTCTCCCCAGACCTTCCTGCCTGCCTGTTTCCTGCTCCCAGGACAGCGTGCATCCTGTGTCCAGCTTCTGCCCCTAAACCTGTGAACTGATACCGCAGGTGGGAACAGCCCTTTAGGCCAGACTCTGGTTTTTGGTTTTTCCTTTACTGCCAAATATGATCTACTGCTACATTCAGCTTAGTGATTTATTGAGGCTAGAAATTCCTACCCATTTGTTTATTCAATTAGGAATTTGGTTTAGGTCTTGAAAGAAGAACCTCCTTGTCCTAAAGATTAAAGGCTTTGTTTCACCACTCCAGGATGGCTTCTTTTGTCTCCAGATTCCCATTCCCCTCGGGTTTATACAAAGATTATTGCAAAGGAGAGTCCACCATCCTCAATATCCAGACCAGCCTGTTCCAAATGTCAGCAAGGGAGGACCTTGTGACACTGAAGTGCACGTGGTAGCACTTTAGTGATCACGGAGCAGTCATTCTTTGATGAGCAGAAACCATGGCCTGAGTTGAGTTTGGTTTTTCAGAGACAGAAGGAAAGTCCAGGAAGGTGAAGTGAGCAGTGAGTCCCAAGGTTTTGCAGACAGCCATTGGCCCAGGCTGGCTGTGGTCTCTAGGCCCAGGACAAATTTGATTTCTCTACCCCTCAGGCACTTGCTTGTTTCCTGGATGCATCACAGTGAGTCTGAGTTGGAAGGATCACAGTCAGTCTCCCGTTAAGAGCATGGGGTCTGCCTGCTGGGGTAAGAAAACTAACGTCAGTCCTGCTTTAAAGTGGACTGAGCAGCAGCCCAGCCTGTACAGAATACGGATGGGTCAGGCTTAGGTTTGGCCGTGTTTTTCCCTCTGGGGCCTTTATCTGTGCCCTCGAGTGGTGGATAAAAAAGCTGTATTCTCAAACACATATGTTGAGAGGGTTGTCTTTTGGAATAGAGGGTAATGCTGTATATTCTGCTTAAATATTTACATATTCCGCTTATAAATTTGTTTATCCTTTAAATTTTTTTGTTTGGGTTACTTACTTTCATTTATAGATACTTGTTCATACTTTGGGAATTAATTTTAAAGGTACATGAAAAATGGCATGTTTGCCAGGAAAACAAAAAAACACCTAGAATTTGGAAAAAGTGTTATATGAGATTTCTGACTTATTGTGGCTGTTATTTTGGTATTACTGAGAGATTCAGCTTTTAAACTGGCTAATTTTTATTTACAGATTCTTTGTATGTGTCCTCCATAATTAATGACAGAACCATAGTGATGTTAGAGCTGCTAATTAAAAATCACCAATTTTGAAGGCTCTGTTTTATATTTATTTTTTAAAAAAGAGACAGGATCTCGCACTGTCACCCAGGCTGGAGTGTAGTGATGTGATCACAGCTCACTACAGCCTTAGCCTTCAGAGTAGCTTGGACTATGCGTGTGCAGCACTACATCTGGCTAATATATATATATTTTTAATTAAGAGACCTGGTCTCACTATGTTGCCCGTGCTGGTCTTGAACTCCTGTCCTCAAGTAATTCTCCTGCTTTGGCCTCCCAAAGTGCTGGGATTATATAGGCATGAGCTACCATGCGTGGCCTCTGTGTATTTAAATTAGAATTAATTTTAATTTTGAGAAATATTTTTGTTAGATATGTACAGTAAATAAATACCCTTCTCAAGAACACTGTCCTGAGCTTGAGAGGTACAGATAGTACTTAATTAGTAGTCCCTTCATTTTAGCCTATCCTTTAATAAACAAATGTGGTTGCGTCAGGTGTGGTGATATACCAGTAATCCCAGCACTTTGGGCAGCTAAAGTGGTGGATCACCTGAAGTCAGCAGTTCTGTCTCAAAAAACAAAACCAAAAGCAAAAAAAGACAAAAATTAGCTGGGCATGCACCTGTAGTTTTAGCTACTTGGGAGGCTGAAGCAGAAGAATCACTTGAACCTAGGTGGCGGAGGTCGCAGTGAGCCAAGATCGCACCACTGCACTCCAGCCTGGGTGACAGAGTGAGACTCCATCTCAAAAATAAAATAAAAAATAAACAAATGAGATTGCTTACTGTGTGTCTAGCACTGTATTAGATAAAGTGTGTAGTTTTTGTTTTTTGTTTTTTTCGAGACCAGCCAGTTTTTTAAAAAATGGTAATAAAAGTCCTAGTCTAGAGCTTAAGGGCCAGGCTTAACTTGAGGCCAATAAAATTAGAATTTTCAGGGCAAGTCTCAAGCATCAGTATTTTGTAAATGTTACAGGAGATTGCAATACACAGCCAAGTGACTCAACCAAAGTGACTTCCAGTGCAGTTATTTCAGTGGGGATAAGACACACACTGTGAAATAGAAAAAAGTGTGAAACTCTAAGTACAGTGGAAGCCCAGAGAAGATGACGGTGGTTCTAATCATTTTTTGCGCTAAGGATCATGGGACAGTAATTCTTTGATTATGGGTTCATCAAGCAAAAACTATGAGCCTGGCATTGGAGACAAAGAGGAAAGACAAAGTCTTTGGTGACAGGAATTCATCATACTGGAGAAGAAAGACGACCAGACCCAATGATGTTACTGTTGAGAAGAAGAAAACCTTTCTTCCACCAACTTAGATCCAAATTGTTAGGGGGCCTGTGACTTAAATGACAATAGACAGATTAACAGAAGAAATGTTTATTATGCATATGGCACTACTCTAAGAGAGGGGTAGCTCTCCAAAGAAGAGGTGAAGATTTTTATATACCAGATTAATAAGGGCGTGTGTGTGTGTTTGTGTGTGTGTGTGTGTGTTGGATTCGTAGGATGGAAGCCTCTGATGAGGCTCTTTTACATTTTTTTTTTAGTGCTTTGGTACCCAAGGTCAATCACCAACCTGACTGGAGATCTTCCCAGAGCAGGAGGTTTGTGGCAGCTGACTGTGGTAAAGTTCTACTTTGGTCAGATAAGGGAAGTTCAGATAAGATGTCTTCATGCATTTGCTATGATTCTGTTAACAGGTTTCTCTGGGATCCCTAAGAGAGGGTCCACTCAGTCTGTTGAGGGGCTTAGGAATTTATATTTGGTTTACAACTTAGATGTGTTCATTTTTGAAGTATTATTTGTACCATTCTTGTCAGTCCCCACATACCTCCATTTGAAACTTCCCAAGAAGTCTCACAAAAGAGCTGGGTTGATTGCTGTAGTAGAAGTCTTAGGTTAGAAATTGAGAGGTAAGAGATCTGCAGGGGAAAAAAGAACATAGACTGGAATGAGGATACGAAAAGAAAATAAAGGTTAATGCTTGGAGCAGAGTGTAAAACCAGTTCTTGATTCCATAGGGCAGTCAAGACTTTTTAACATTGGGCTCAAATCATTTTTAGCTGGTGGAGTGAGAGCAGCAGTGGCGATTGGATGATTTTCCTGATTGAAGTTTGAATGTTTTTGGTAGTGGCATCCCATACATGATCTCTTGTGCTGATGAGTCCTTTGAAGTTTATGCAGAGTTGATCAGATTCAACCTGCAGGACTTGTATCAGTCCCAAACTGGCTACCCATGAGCTAAATACAGCCAGCAGAGTATCTTTTCTTGTCTAGCCAGGCTTTTTGTGTTTTGTTTTTTTTTTTAGGGAGGGAAGGAGGAAGGGAGGAAGGCAGGAAGGGAGGGAAGGAGGAAGGGAGGGAGGAAGGAAGGGATGAAGGAAGGAAGCGGGGAAGGGGGCGGAGGGAGGGAGGGAGGGAGGGAAGGAAGGAAGGGAAGGGAGAAATTAAAGCAATGAGAGAGACATTGCCGACCTGGATCTAGAAGTTTACAAGTTGATTTCTTTTTTTGAGAGAAGGAAAGAAAAAAAAATGAGTAAAGGAGAGAAAGAAAGAGGAAGAGAGAGAGGGAGGGTGAATGGAAATATTGCTTTATTCTGAAAAAAAAAATGGGTATTAATAATGGCCAATCAATGTTTCATTTAAACGTATGGGTAGGTGTGATGTCGTATTGAGAAGAATGTATATTTTATGTATTTGAAGTGGAGAGCTCTATAAATATTTATTAAGTTTACTTGTTCCGGATCTGAGTTAGAGTCCTTGATATCCTTATTAATTTTCTGTCTCATTGAATCTAAGTCTCTATGTATCTGGGTGTTAGGATCGTTAGCTCTTGTTGTATTGATCCTTTTACCACTGTATCTTTGTTGCTTTAAAATCTATTTTATCCGCTACGAGAATGGCAACTCCTGCTTTTTATTTATTTATTTATTTTTGCTCTCCATTTGGTTGGTAAATCTTTCTCCATTCCTTTGTTTTGAGTCTTTGTGTATCCTTGTATGTGAAACAGGTCTGGATGTAACATGTCGTTGGGTTTTGGCTGTGTCTTTTGATTGGGGGATTTAGTCAATTTAAATTTAGGGTTACTGCCATCTGATGTTAACTGGCTGTTTGATCCATTTGTTGATGAAAATTCTTCTTTATGTTGGTGCTCTTTACTTTTTGGTATATTTTTAGTAAGGCTAATACTGGTTGTTTCTTTCTGTGTGTAATGCCTCTTTCAGAAGCTCTTGTAAAGCAGGCCTGGTGGTAATAAAATCTCTGAGTACTTGCTGGTTCATAAAAGATTTTATTTTTCCTTCAGTTGTGAAGTTTAGTTTGGCTGGATATGAAATTCTGGGCTGAAGGTTCTGTTCTTTGAGGATGTTGAATATTGGCCCCCACTCTCTTCTGGCTTGTAGAGTTTCTGCTGAGAGATCTGCTGTAAGTCTGATAGGCTTGCCTTTGTGGGTAACCTGACCTTTCTCTCTGGCTGCCCTTAGTATTTTCTCCTTCGTTTCAACCCTGGTGAATCTAACGATTATGTGCTTTGGGGTTGCTCTTCTTGAGGAATATCTTTGTGGTGTTCTCTATTACCTGGGGTTGAATATTGACCTGCTTTGCTAGTTTAGGAAAATTTTCCTGAGTAATATCCTGAAGGGTATTTTCCAGCTTGGATTCATTCTCTCCATCGCATTCAGGTACACCTATCAAACGTAAATTTGGTCTTTTCACATAGTCCCACATTTCTTGGAGACTTTGCTCATTCCTTTTTATCCTTTTATCTCTAATCTTGTCTTCTTGTTTTCTTTCATTAAGTTGGACTTTGACCTCTGTTATCCTTTCTTCTGCTTGAACAATTCGAGTGTTTAAACTTGTGCATACTTCTCGGAGTTCCTGTATTGTATTCTTCAGTTCCATTAATTCACTTATATTCCTCTCTAAGTTGTCTATTCTCAATAGGATTTCGTCAAACCTTTTTTCAAAATTCCTGGTTTCTTTACGTTGGGCTGCAACATGTTCTTTTAACTCACAGAAGTTTGTTATTATCCATTCCTTGAAGAGTGATTCTGTCATTGGGATGCGCTCATTCTCCATCAAGCCTTGTTCCATTGTTGATGTGGAACTGTGATCATCTTTAGAGGGAGAGGCGTTCTGATTTTGAGTATTCTCAGCCTTTTTACGCTGGTTTCTTCCCATCATTGTAAATTGTAAATCCTGTCGTCTTTGAAATTACCAACTTTCAGATTAGGTCTCTTGATTGGACATCTAAGTTGTTAGTTCCCAGGGCCAGAACGGCCACTTTTTGTGTTTTTAATATATACATTTATTTATTTAGTGAATATGAATGTCTTAAGGTGGACCGTGCCCTCTCTATATTACCTGAGAGGAGACCATTGCTAGTTCTCCTTGGCTGTATTTCCTGTGTGGTCCCTGGGGGAATCTAAGTTTGCATTATTATGTAAGATGTCCTCTTCCGTTCTTTAGGACCACTTTTACTTATATGGTTTCCCGTTAGTCTTTCCTCACTTCTGCTGTGCCCCATGTTGAGATTATTTTAGGACAATGTGTTTCACATTGTAAGTTTTAGCCCATTCAGAATACTAAAATCATTTTGGTGAGTATTGATCAAAAGAAGCTTTAGATACTGTTCAGTAGAGAAGTTCCAGCTTCTCAGTATCACTGCTAGCAGCTTACATCAATAATTTCATGAGAATAGATTTCTTATAACCATTAGGTAGAAGAAAAAACACAAGGGAAATTATGAAATGCTTTGAGAGGAATGAAAATGAAGATACAATATAATAAAACGTATGGAATATAGTTAAAGCAGTACTTAAAGAGAAATTTATAGGGGGAAATACCTATATTTTAAAAAGTTCTCGGCCAGGCACAGTGGCTCATGCCTATAATCCCAGCATTTTGGGAGGCCGAGTCGAGTGGATCACGAGGTCAAGAGATCGAGACCATCCTGGTCGACATGGTGAAACCCCGTCTCTACTAAAAATACAAAAATTAGCTGGGCATGGTGGTGCGTGCCTGTAGTCCCAACTACTCAGGAGGCTGAGGCAGGAGTAGTTGAACCCAGGAGGCGGAGATTGCGGTGAGCCGAGGTCGCGCCATTGCATTCCAGCCTGGGTAACAAGGGTGAAACTCTGTCTCAAAAAAAATTTCAAATCACTAAGCTAACCTTTCACCTTAAGATACTGGGAAAAGAAGCCAGGTGAAGTGACTCATGCCTGTAATCTCAGCACTTTGGGAGTATGAGGTGGGCAGATCACCTGAGGTTGGGAGTTCGAGACCAGCCTGACCAACATGGAGAAGCCTCGTGTCTACTAAATATACGAAATTAGCCAGGCGTGCTGGCGCATGCATGCCTGTAATCCCACCTACTCAGGAGGCTAAGGCAGGAGAATCGCTTGAACTCAGAAGGTGGAGGTTGCAGTGAGCCAAGATCGTGTCATTGCACTCCAGCCTGGGCAACAAGAGTGAAACTGTGTCTAAAAAAAAAAAAGATAATGGGAAAAGAAGAAACCTAACACAAGCAGAAGGAAGAAATTAATAAATAGTAGAGCAGGAATTAGTGAAATAAAGAGTAGAGAAGCAATAGAGAAAAATTAATAAAACCAAAAGTTGGGTAGTTTAAAAGATAAACAAAATTGATAAGCTTTTAACTAGGCTGACCAAGAAAGAAGAGAAATGCAAATAAAATCAGTAATGAAAGTGAGGACATTACCACTGACTTTATGGAAGTAAACAGAATCATGAGGATACACTGTGAGCATCTATATGCTACTGAATTAGTTAAATTAAATGGACAAATTCCTAGAAATATATAAGGTGCAGGGATTACAGGCATGAACCACCACACCTGGCCGAGATTTATCCTTGACCATACACTGATTGAAATAGAATATAGAAAAAGTAAATTTTATTATGGGAACTTATACTCTTAGGTATTAAAAGAATAAAGGCCAGGCACGGTGGCTCAAGCCTGTAATCCCAGCACTTTGGGAGGCCGAGGCAGGTGGATCATGAGGTCAAGAGATCGAGACCATCCTGGTCAACATGGTGAAACCCTGTCTCTACTAAAAATACAAAAAATTAGCTGGGCATGGTGGCGCGTGCCTGTAATCCCAGCTCCTCGGAGGCTGAGGCAGGAGAATTGCCTGAACCCAGGAGGCGGAGGTTGCGGTGAGCTGAGATTGCGCCATTGCACTCCAGCCTGGGTAACGAGCGAAACTCCGTCTCAAAAAAAAAAAAAAAAAAAAAAATGATATAAAACTTCTAATATGTAGGCTGTGAAGGTTTCAAAATTTGGTAGTATTCTCTTTCTGGTTCTGTGCATTTCTTCATGTAATATTTACTTTTGTTTCTATCTAAACTCTCTAAACACTAACTGCCATTCTTGCACCACCCTCATCTCTTACCCTGTGCTTCAGGTTTCTTGTGGAGTCCAAAGACACTTGACAACTATGAGTAACATTTTGTTGTTGTTGACATTTTAAAAAATTGGGGCTGGGCATGGTGGCTCAAGCCTGTAATCCCAGCGCTTTTGATTGGGTCACTCAAGGTCAGGAGTTTGGGACCATCCTGGCTAACATGGCGAAACCTCATCTCTACTCAAAATATAAAAAATCAGCTGGGCATGGTGGCTTGCACCTACCTATAGTCCCAGCTACTTGGGAGGCCGAGGCAAGAGAACAGCTTGAACCCGGGAGGTGGAGATTGCAGTGAGACAAGATCGCCACTGCACTCCAGCCTGGGCAACAGAGCAAGACTTCGTCTCAAAAAAAAAAAAAGAAAAAGAAAAAATTAGTAAGCTTTATTTTTCAGAGCAGTTTTAGGTCTGCAGCAAAACTGAGTGGAAAGTACAGAATTTCCCGTACACTCCTGCCCTGCCCTTCCACACATGGTATGCCCCACTATCCGTGTCCTGCACCACAGTGGTATGTTGTATCAAGGGTGAACCATACTTAATGCACACTGTGGATTTGGGGTGTGGTACATCATCACCCAGAATCCATAGTTTGCAATTAAGTAGTGTTCACTCTTGTACATTTTGTGGGATTTTGACAAATGTAGTACTTATTTACCATTGTTGTATCATACATAAGAGTTTCACTGCCCTAAAAATCTGTGTTCTGCCTGTTATCCCTCCCTACCCCATCCCCGGATTACCACTAATCTTTTTGCCATCTCTGTAGTTTTACTGTTTACAGAATGTCATGTAGTTGGAATCATATAGTATGTAGCCCTTTGAGATGAGCTTCTTTCACTTAGTAATAAGCATCACGAAGTAGTATTAAGTTTCTGCCGTGTTCTTTTGATGGCTTGGTTGCTGATTTC